TTTAGATCTAGTTCAGTTCTAGTTCAGTTCTAGTTCAGTTCTAGTTCAGTTCTAGTTCAGTTCTAGTTCAGTTCTAGTTCAGTGCTAGTTCAGTTCTAGTTCAGTTCTAGTTCAGTTCTAGTTCAGTTCTAGTTCAGTTCTAGTTCAGTTCTAGTTCAGTTCTAGTTCAGTTCTAGTTCCGTTCTAGTTCAGTTCTAGTCAGTTCTAGTTCAGTTCTAGTTCAGTTCTAGTTCAGTTCTAGTTCAGTTCTAGTTCAGTTCTAGTTCAGTTCTAGTTCAGTTCTAGTTCAGTTCTAGTTCAGTTCTAGTTCAGTTCTAGTTCAGTTCTAGTTCAGTTCTAGTTCAGTTCTAGTTCAGTTCTAGTTCAGTTCTAGTTCAGTTCTAGTTCAGTTCTAGTTCAGTTCTAGTTCAGTTCTAGTTCAGTTCTAGTTCAGTTCTAGTTCAGTTCTAGTTCAGTTCTAGTTCAGTTCTAGTTCAGTTCTAGTTCAGTTCTAGTTCAGTTCTAGTTCAGTTTGTTAGTTCAGTTCAGTTCTAGTTCAGTTCTAGTTCAGTTTAGTCAGTTCTAGTTCAGTTCTAGTTCAGTTCTAGTTCAGTTCTAGTTCAGTTCTAGTTCAGTTCTAGTTCAGTTCTAGTTCAGTTCTAGTTCAGTTCTAGTTCAGTTCTAGTTCAGTTCTAGTTCAGTTCTAGTTCAGTTCTAGTTCAGTTCTAGTTCAGTTCTAGTTCAGTTCTAGTTCAGTTCTAGTTCAGTTCTAGTTCAGTTCTAGTTCAGTTCTAGTTCAGTTCTAGTTCGTTCTAGTTCCGTTCTAGTTCAGTTCTAGTTCAGTTCTAGTTCAGTTCTAGTTCAGTTCTAGTTCAGTTCTAGTTCAGTTCTAGTTCAGTTCTAGTTCAGTTCTAGTTCAGTTCTAGTTCAGTTCTAGTTCAGTTCTAGTTCAGTTCTAGTTCAGTTCTAGTTCAGTTCTAGTTCAGTTCAGTTCTAGTTCAGTTCTAGTTCAGTTCTAGTTCAGTTCTAGTTCAGTTCTAGTTCAGTTCTAGTTCAGTTCAAGTTCAGTTCTACTTCTAGTTCAGTTCTACTTCTAGTTCAGTTCTAGTTCAGTTCTAGTTCTAGTTCAGTTCTAGTTCAGTTCTAGTTCAGTTCTAGTTCAGTTCTAGTTCAGTTCTAGTTCAGTTCTAGTTCAGTTCTAGTTCAGTTCTAGTTCAGTTCTAGTTCAGTTCTAGTTCAGTTCTAGTTCAGTTCTAGTTCAGTTCTAGTTCAGTTCTAGTTCAGTTCTAGTTCAGTTCTAGTTCAGTTCTAGTTCAGTTCTAGTTCAGTTCTAGTTCAGTTCTAGTTCAGTTCTAGTTCAGTTCTAGTTCAGTTCTAGTTCAGTTCTAGTTCAGTTCTAGTTCAGTTCTAGTTCAGTTCTAGTTCAGTTCTAGTTCAGTTCTAGTTCAGTTCTAGTTGAGTTCAAGTTTAGTTCTAGTTCAGTTCTAGTTCAGTTCTAGTTCAGTTCTAGTTCAGTTCTAGTTCAGTTCTAGTTCAGTTCTAGTTCAGTTCTAGTTCAGTTCTAGTTCAGTTCTAGTTCAGTTCTAGTTCAGTTCTAGTTCAGTTCTAGTTCAGTTCTAGTTCAGTTCTAGTTCAGTTCTAGTTCAGTTCTAGTTCAGTTCTAGTTCAGATCTAGTTCAGTTCTAGTTCAGTTCTAGTTCAGTTCTAGTTCAGTTCTAGTTCAGTTCTAGTTCGCTTCTAGTTCAGTTCTAGTTCAGTTCTAGTTCAGTTCTAGTTCAGTTCTAGTTCAGTTCTAGTTCAGTTCAGTTCTAGTTCAGTTCTAGTTCAGTTCTAGTTCAGTTCTAGTTCAGTTCTAGTTCAGTTCTAGTTCAGTTCTAGTTCAGTTCTAGTTCAGTTCTAGTTCAGTTCTAGTTCAGTTCTAGTTCAGTTCTAGTTCAGTTCTAGTTCAGTTCTAGTTCAGTTCTAGTTCAGTTCTAGTTCAGTTCTAGTTCAGTTCTAGTTCAGTTCTAGTTCAGTTCTAGTTCAGTTCTAGTTCAGTTCTAGTTCAGTTCTAGTTCAGTTCTAGTTCAGTTCTAGTTCAGTTCTAGTTCAGTTCTAGTTCAGTTCTAGTTCAGTTCTAGTTCAGTTCTAGTTCAGTTCTAGTTCAGTTCTAGTTCAGTTTTAGTTCAGTCCTCATGCATTTGCTCCGTTCCCCATGCAAATCTGATTAATATCTGATACCTTTTATTTGCACAATTTTATTCATATTTTGCACCTTGGAATATCTTTTAAAATAAAAATTATGTGTTTTTTAATGCATATTAATTATTAAATATTAATAATAATTTATTGTCAATATTACATAAGGTATACTATTTATATACCTTATAAAGGCTATTTATCATTGAAAACTAATATTTATTTACTGTTGAAAAAAAAGCATAATTTTAATTTTGATTTATGATAAAAAGCTAAAGTATACATTTACAATTTACATTATCTGGCTAAAAATATATGAATAAAATTGTGTTAAAGGTTTTATTTTATTTTTGTATATAAACATACATCGCTATACGAAAACAAGCATTTTAAATGTTATATAATATTTATATGTATATGTAAATAATATATCATTTAAATAGGTGAGGGAAACCGACAATTCGTTTCAGTCAGGTGGTGTTTAAAGAAAGTCCGGGGCTGTTATCTCTTTTCCTATTAATAAGTTTTTATGCATTTCCCATTATTTAAATACAAAAAAATAAATTGTCTTTCAAATAATTGACCTTTGATATTTCAGATATCTTTTTCCAACCTCAATTTTTATTTTAAATGTATGACAGAATTTAAAATACAAATATTTAAGAGAAAAAAAAAAAAAAAAGAATTGAAAAACACTTTATCAACCATATGTACATAATGAAAAGGGAAATAACATATTAAATGTAATAATTTATAAAAATATTATTTATTTGTAACAATTATATAAAATAGTTAATGGAATAAAAACACACAAACAGTGAAAGACAAAAGTGAACTGTGTACTGAACTGAACTGAACAAGAACTGAACTAGAACTGAACTAGAACTGAAATTAGAACTGACTAAACTGTAAGCTGAGAACTAGAACTGAACTAGAACTGAACTAGAACTGAACTAGAACTGAACTAGAACTGAACTAGAACTGAACTAGAACTGAACTAGATCTGAACTAGAACTGAACTAGAACTGAACTAGAACTGAACTAGAACTGAACTAGAACTGAACTAGAACTGAACTAGAACTGAACTAGAACTGAACTAGAACTGAACTAGATCTGAACTAGAACTGAACTAAACTGAACTAGAACTGAACTAGAACTGAACTAGAACTGAACTAGAACTGAACTAGAACTGAACTAGAACTGAACTAGAACTGAACTAGAACTGAACTAGAACTGAACTAGAACTGAACTAGAACTGAACTAGAACTGAACTAGAACTGAACTAGAACTGAACTAGAACTGAACTAGAACTGAACTAGAACTGAACTAGAACTGAACTAGAACTGAACTAGAACTGAACTAGAACTGAACTAGAACTGAACTAGAACTGAACTAGAACTGAACTAGAACTGAACTAGAACTGAACTAGAACTGAACTAGAACTGAACTAGAACTGAACTAGAACTGAACTAGAACTGAACTAGAACTGAACTAGAACTGAACTAGAACTGAACTAGAACTGAACTAGAACTGAACTAGAACTGAACTAGAACTGAACTAGAACTGAACTAGAACTGAACTAGAACTGAACTAGAACTGAACTAGAACTGAACTAGAACTGAACTAGAACTGAACTAGAACTGAACTAGAACTGAACTAGAACTGAACTAGAACTGAACTAGAACTGAACTAGAACTGAACTAGAACTGAACTAGAACTGAACTAGAACTGAACTAGAACTGAACTAGAACTGAACTAGAACTGAACTAGAACTGAACTAGAACTGAACTAGAACTGAACTAGAACTGAACTTGAACTGAACTAGAACTGAACTAGAACTGAACTAGAACTGAAAGAACTGAACTAGAACTGAACTAGAACTGAACTAGAACTGAACTAGAACTGAACTAGAACTGAACTAGAACTGAACTAGAACTGAAACTAGAACTGAACTAGAACTGAACTAGAACTGAACTAGAACTGAAACTAGAACTGAACTAGAACTGAACTAGAACTGAACTAGAACTGAACTAGAACTGAACTAGAAACTGAACTAGAACTGAACTAGAACTGAACTAGAACTGAACTAGAACTGAACTAGAACTGAACTAGAACTGAACTAGAAACTGAACTAGAACTGAACTAGAACTGAACTAGAACTGAACTAGAACTGAACTAGAACTGAACTAGAACTGAACTAGAACTGATCTAGAAACTGAACTAGAACGAACTAGAACTGAACTAGAACTGAACTAGAACTGAACTAGAACTGAAACTAGAACTGAAACTAGAACTGAACTAGAAACTGACAACTGGAACTGAACTAGAACTAAGTAGAACTGAACTAGAACTGACTAGAACTCAACTAGAACTCAATTAGAACTTAACTAGAACTCAACTAGAACTGAACTAGAAATAAACTCTAACTAATTTTCTATATAACCGCTGTTTGACCTCTTTTAGCCTTCACTGTGTTAGTATTTTATTTATAAAGGATATTACATTTAAGTAGGTGTGTATGTATTTAAAAATACACACCTACAAAAGTATTTTATGGATTTTTTACCATTTAATTCGTTTATGTAAATACACAAACAGCATTTATTCACATACATGAGAAAACATTCACTTGCTTTTTGTTTGTTTTTTGTGTCGAAAAAATCTTAAAAAATAATTATTTTTGTAAATACGATTGAAAGTTAAATTCATTAATTTCACTTAAATTTTTTAAATATTTTTATTTTTCGCTTAATTCTTATTGTATTTATTTAAAGTTTATGCGTTTTTTTCGCGTTGTATTAATATATTCTCTTTTCTGTCTGTGTCTCTCATTTTCATTGTAGATAATTATTGCAATTTGCCACAGGCATCCAACAGCAGTATAACAACAATAGCAGCAATTCAGCAGCAGCAATAACGGCAACAACAATAGTTTAATATGGCCATAAGGCTAAATGGAAACAAGGGAAAACAACAATTTTACCATTATTTTGTTTAAATAATAAAAGAAACGTTGAACAGAACAACTACAAAAAACATGAAAATAAAATAATAAAAATAGTAGTGTGTATTTTAATTAAATAAATTTGTAAAGTGGATCAAAAATAACAATATAAAACACATTCATCCACACACACTGTGTGTGGCAGTTAGTGAGTGTAAACGTTCAGTGCGTCAAACGGTCTCTGTAGCCGGACATTGCCTCTTTTTGCTGCCGTTGAGACTGCATATAGTCAGTTGATGCAACTATTCATCCTTTAACGCATAAAAAGCTTAAGGTAAATATAATTTTGGTTTTTAATAAAATTTAAAAATAATTTTTACAAATAGTGCCTTTGGTATTAAATAGTGCAATCAAAAATTATTTAAATAATTTTTATAAATGTAAGCTTTAAGATATCATTTTTATTTTTGCCACATACAAAGACAAAAAGCTTATTACCAAAATTGTAAAAAAGTAGACATTGCAACAAATATTTTAATACAGACAATGACATGCAACATTGAGCTCACGTATATAAATAGAGACATCTACTATGGAACGTGTCTGCTACCGTAAAACAATACAAACTGCTACACGAAACGAAATTCAGAAAAAGTAGTGCAGACTTTGTCTTAACTGTGAAAGGAAACAAATGAAACATGTAAGAGTGTTATATTCGACTATGCCGAATCTTATATACCCACCATCAAACCTCGTTTGAATCGAATGAAACTTATGTCGAATTTCATCTATATACTCGTATTTTTAGGCCAGTTATAAGCGTTAAGTAATTTTCTGAAGGGGACCTTATATAGGGAGGTAGGGTCAATTATGGGTCGATCCTCAAAAAATTTGGTAGACAGAATTAGGTTCGTATTAAATTTATTTGTGTCGAATTTCATCGCTACACTCGTATTTTTAAGCCATTAATGAGCGTTGCAGTCATTTTCTGAAGGGGACCTTATATGGGGGGTAGGGTCAATCATGGACCGATCAACATAAAATTTTTTAGATAGATTTTGACTCATATGAAACTTACTTATGTCGAATTTCATCTATATACTAATATTTTTAAGCCAGTAATGAGCGTTAAAGTCATTTTCTGAAGGGGACCTTATATGGGGGGGGTAGGGTCAATTATGGACCGATCCTCATAAAATTCGCATAGTGATTTTGGATCACAAGAAATTAACGTATGTCGAATTTCATCGCTATATTCGTATTTTTAAACAAGTTATGGCTTGTTAAAGCTGCTTTTCGAGGGGCCACTTGTATGGGGGCTATCCGAAAACGTGGACCGATATTGCCCATTTTCAATACAAAACAAACCTTACTTATAAGAAATATGTATGTGGGACTCTCTCGTGGTTTCAACAGACAGACAGACAGACAGACGGACAAACATGGCTAGATCGTCTTAGAATTTAATGAGGACCCAGAATATATATACTTTTGTGGGTCTATGACCCATATTTTCGATGTGTTCTTTTTTGATGGTGGGTATAAAAATTACAGAAGAATAGTAACTATATAGCAACAAAGAAAGTAACAGAACCAGAACTGCTACAACTGAATTCGAACTAAAACTGAACTAGGAACTGAACTAGAACTGAACTATAACTGAACTAGAACTTAACTAGAACTGGACTAGAACTGAACTAGAACTGAACTGAACTAGAACTGAACTAGAACTGAACTAGAACTGAACTAGAACTGAACTAGAACTGAACTGGAACTGAACTAGAACTAAACTAGAGCTGAAATAGAACTGAACTAGAACTGAACTAGAACTGAACTGGAACTGAACTGATGAAACTGAACTAGAACTAAACTAGAACTGAACTAGAACTGAACTAGAACTGAACTAGAACTGAACTAGAACTGAACTAGAACTGAACTAGAACTGAACTAGAACTGAACTAGAACTGAACTAGAACTGAACTAGAACTGAACTAGAACTGAACTAGAACTGAACTAGAACTGAACTAGAACTGAACTAGAACTGAACTAGAACTGAACTAGAACTGAACTAGAACTGAACTAGAACTGAACTAGAACTGAACTAGAACTGAACTAGAACTGAACTAGAACTGAACTAGAACTGAACTAGAACTGAACTAGAACTGAACTAGAACTGAACTAGAACTGAACTAGAACTGAACTAGAACTGAACTAGAACTGAACTAGAACTGAATTAGAACTGAACTAGAACTGAACTATAACTGAACTAGAACTGAACTAGAACTGAACTAGAACTGAACTAGAACTGAACTAGAACTGAACTAGAACTGAACTAGAACTGAACTAGAACTGAACTAGAACTAAACTAGAACTGAACTAGAACTGAACTAGAACTAAACCAGAAGTGAACTAGAACTGAACTAGAACTAGAACTGAACTAGAACTGAACTAGAACTGAACTAGAACTGAACTAGAACTGAACTAGAACTGAACTAGAACTGAACTAGAACTGAACTAGAACTGAACTAGAACTGAACTAGAACTGAACTAGAACTGAACTAGAACTGAACTAGAACTGAACTAGAACTGAACTAGAACTGAACTAGAACTGAACTAGAACTGAACTAGAATTGAACTAGAACTGAACTAGAACTGAACTAGAACTGAACTAGAACTGAACTAGAACTGAACTAGAACTGAACTGGAACTGAACTAGAACTGAACTAGAACTGAACTAGAACTGAACTAGAACTGAACTAGAACCGAACTAGAACTGAACTAGAACTGAACTAGAACTGAACTAGAACTGAACTAGAACTGAACTAGAACTGAACTAGAACTGAACTAGAACTGAACTAGAACTGAACTAGAACTGAACTAGAACTGAACTAGAACTAAACTAGAACTGAACTAGAACAGAACTAGAACTAGAACTGAACTAGAACTGAACTAGAACTAAACTAGAACTGAACTAGAACTGAACTAGAACTGAACTAGAACTGAACTAGAACTGAACTAGAACTGAACTAGAACTGAACTAGAACTGAACTGAACTGAACTAGAACTGAACTAGAACTGAACTAGAACTGAACTAGAACTGAACTAGAACTGAACTAGAACTGAACTAGAACTGAGCTAGAACTGAACTAGAACTGAATTAGAACTGAACTAGAACTGAACTAGAACTGAACTAGAACTGAACTAGAACTGAACTAGAACTGAACTAGAATTGAACTAGAACTGAACTAGAACTGAACTAAAACTGAACTAGAACTAGAACTAGAACTGAACTAGAATTGAAATTGGTCTAGAGCTGACACTAAGATTTTTCTAGAGCCGACTGGAACTTAAGCTGACTAAAACTGATTCCAAACTTACTTTAACTGAACTACAATTAAGAGAAAACTCATGCTATTTTCTTTACATACTTCTGCTAGATTCGCTGTTTATTTCATTTAGATCTTAACATTTCTTTAGAAACAATGACTTTTTTATTTTCAGTCCTCTTTTTTCAAAAAACCAAACCAAACATAGTTTTTAAAAGATTGTTAACCGAAAATAATTATAATTAGTCGAATTTGCTGGAAAATGATTTCATACGGTTTGTTTGATTTCCTTGAAAATGGGATTACAGAGAAAAGTACTTTTGAAATGTGAAAAAAATTTTTTGTATTCAAAACTGATTTACATAGCTAATATTTAGAGTTAAAGCGCTAATTGGATAATAAGGCACATTAAAATCTTTTAAGAATGAAAACTAGCTAACTTAAAAATGCAGTAGGAAAGAGGAAAAGTATGGAGCATTTTCAAAATATGTACTCTTAAGCCTTAAAGTAGGCAACACATCCTAGTACAGTATATTGTTAAAATTTTAACATTTTAATAAAATTTTAAAAAACACTCAACATCACTTTAACCTCGATTATATCCCATTCTACTCTAATTCCATTTTCTTATCAAAATGACCCGCTGTTGAACTTTAACATGTGTGTAATTTAAATAATATTTATTATTATTCTTCCTGGTTGCATTTTCCTTTTAGTTTAATTAGTATTTCAAACAAAAACAACAAAAAAAGACATACAGTCTCCTTTCAAATGTTCCCAGTCAATTAGTTTATGTTCTTTACTGTTAAGCATAGAAAATATTTGTATGTTTTTTTTTTTTTTTGTCAACATTTGTACGCAATTGTAAGTGCACAAGTTGCATTTTTTCTGTTCCACTAAACAACTGTCGACAATGTAGCTTGTATAATAATTTAGTTATATTTTTTATAATAAATTTAAAACATACGAGTACAACAATTAAACACAAAAAAATTAACTTAAATAAAACCATGGTACTTTTACCAAGAGACTTTAGCTCTATGGTGACTATGAAGTCGTAGAATAGGAGGACATTAGGGAGGCATATTTTTATAAGAAATTAAAATTCTTACAAAGATTTGTATGAGATATTATAGTGCAGTTTTAGTTCAGTTCTAGTTCAGTTCTAGTTCAGTTCTAGTTCAGTTCTAGTTCAGTTCTAGTTTAGTTCTAGTTAAGTTCTAGTTCAGTTCTAGTTCAGTTCTAGTTCAGTTCTATTCAGTCTAGTTCTAGTTCAGTTCTAGTTCAGTTCTAGTTCAGTTCTAGTTCAGTTCTAGTTCAGTTCTAGTTCAGTTCTAGTTTAGTTCTAGTTCAGTTCTAGTTCAGTTCTAGTTAGTTCTAATCAGTTCTATTCAGTTCTAGTTCAGTTCTAGTTCAGTTCTAGTTCAGTTCTAGTTCAGTTCTAGTTCAGTTCTAGTTCAGTTCTAGTTCAGTTCTAGTTCAGTTCTAGTTCAGTTCTAGTTCAGTTCTAGTTCAGTTCTAGTTCAGTTCTAGTTCAGTTCTAGTTCAGTTCTAGTTCAGTTCTAGTTCAGTTCTAGTTCAGTTCTAGTTCAGTTCTAGTTCAGTTCTAGTTCAGTTCTATTTCAGTTCTAGTTCAGTTCTGTTCAGTTC